CCTTTTTGCACAGGAAGGTCAGAGGTCACGGTCAGCAGTGGAACAGCGGCTCAGGAGCTGGCAGGAGTTCAGCCTCACTGTTCAATGACACATTCATGATGTTGGACACTTGCTGTCATTAATGACTGATGCCAGGTTTTCTGGGTCAAAGTCGTTCGCCTACTCAGCCCAACCTCCAGGCTTGTTTCAGTTTTCCAGACAGGGTTGTGCTTTCTTATAGAACAGAACAACAAGAACGTTGTACAATTAAAGGAAATCAACTTAGGCGTATCTACCACAATCTGAATTTTCCTCATGTAAAAGAAAAAACAGACCCTAAGCTTTCCATTCAGGTTGAAACAAAGACTTTCATCACTTATTGAGGCGGTTTGACTCACGTCTGAGCCACAATGCATGCTGCATCAAACATATGGAGAATGTAATCCTGCTCCTTCAGCCCAGATGTCGGCCAGGCAGACAGTGAAAGCTTAACTGGCCTCTGGACTGTGAAACAATGCACTGAATATGAAAGACGATGAGATTGCTTACAGGTCGGATTGTTCTGTCTCCTTCAGATTATCTCCACAGCTGCTTGATTCAGTATGTGGTGGGTGTCCATCCAATGGGGAAGATATGCCGAAATAGAGGCAGAAAACTAGTATTTTTGGAGTTATACTTCAACTTTTTGCAGATGCATTGTTATATGTGCTGGTGGTTTGAGACGCTATACTAAAAGGATTTTTCATTAGTAGACTGTCTATGACCTCCAGTGGTAGAAAACAGAAGTACATTAGACATTATTAAAAAGAGAGAATCACTAGGTGGCGCCATATGTGTGATTATGAAGTTAGTGTGTGAGATCATAGTCCAATAGGGAAGCCAGTCCATGGCCCTGGGCAACACACACACAGACAGGAGAACACAGTAATTACTCAAACACACATGATGCACATGCAATAACACGCAGTCTTAGTGTGCAAATGCTCTCTTCTGTTCGACCGCTTTCAAACATCAAAGCTAAGTGGGATGCGTGCGCAGAGCTGGAAGATGTTTACACACTGTCAATATTTCAAAAGTCCAACGGTCAAAAATAAGACATTTTGTCTCTGGCTCTCTCTAGGGTACGTGTGTTCCCAGTTGCTTTACACATCCTTATAGGTAAACAACACCTGAGCAGAAATCTGTTTGTCTAAATATGTTAGTTTGTTGTATAATGCAAAAGTGAGGAACAAAAAAATCACATGTCAGTGCCAGTTTCGGTGTTATTGCTCACAAGGTTTCAAATGAAACTAGAGCAAGCTGCAATCAAAACATCTATCTAGACAATGTGTGTGTGTTAGAGAATGTGTGACGTGTCACCAAGTGGTAATCACCTGCACTCACAGAAATGAATCATGGTAGAGTTTATTTTTAAGCATTTAAATCTATTTGATTTTATTTAAATACTCATATTTTTTAAATGTATGTATTGAAATTAATTATAATCTGTATAATTCCTGTCAATTCTAAAATATATTGAATGTAATTACTTAGAGGTTAAACAATAGTGTGTCTGTGTCCTCACCAGTGACACTGGCTACATCTAATTTCCTCCTCCTGTCACTTCTTCCACTCCTTTAGCTTGATCAGAAAACCACAGGGCATTTTTTATTGAATACTCTTGTTTTTGAAAAGGCTGCCTTTGTATTGATTTAGTTTTCTGCTGTCAGAAGGAATAACAAAAAATAGGTTGTTGTTGAGGCAACTACAACAAAAGCCTGAATTGGTTTATTGAGCTTACATCACAGTATAACCATTACATTTTATATGCTAGTGTTAATGTATCTCGCATAATTAATCCCGGTTTTGACACGGGTTTCAGGACAATACTTAAAAGTTCTCTGCAGGTTTATCTGGTATATCTGCTGATGACAGACTGTCTGAGTTTGACAGGCATGTGTGTCGTTTGAAGCAGTGTGACAGACAGACAGCAAGCCGGTCGGGCCGAGTTGAGGAAGCAGATAAAGGGCTGATTGATATGGATGTGTGTGTGTGTGTGTGTTGTGTGTGTGTGTGTGTGTGTGTGTGTGTGTGTGTGTGTGTGTGTGTGTGTGTGTGTGTTGTGTGTGTGTGTGTGTGGTGTGGTGTGTGTGTGTGTGTGTGTGTGTGTGTGTGTGTGTGTGTGTGTGTGTGTGTGTGTGTGTGTGTGTGTGTGACAGCAGAGGCGCGTGGCTTCTCTGGCGTCAAACCGGTCTGGGAGGAGGCAGAGGAGCTGCATGTTTGCGTGCACCAGCAACAGTATTTGTTTGTTTTGGGGAAGAAAAAGAGCACAGTGACACACTTCCTTTTGTCAGTTCAATAGTCTTTCCATAATGGTGACATCCATTTAGAAGTACAAAACAGCAAGTAACTACATACAAGCCTGTTGTGTAGAAGTTGAATGCCTGCACACAGTACACCATCAGTGTTTTTATAATATCTACAGAATAAATGGACCCTACATTTGTTTTCTCTTACTAGTTTAAACATTTTTGGATGTGAGACCACAGTGTACTGACTAAAAGACAGTGTCATGCTTGTCCGAGCAGTATTAGATTTCCTTTCCTTTACTGAGGCTCCAGATCCTCTTAAATCCTCCTGGCTGTCATTCAACAACAAATGCAGTGTCTTTTGATGGGTAGATGGAGGGAAAGAAAACAATACAAAATAAACGTTTGAAATCAAGCGATCAATTCAGCTCTTCATTTGTCATTTATGTGTTATTTAGTCCCATCACAAAGCCGTGAGTGTATTCAGAAGATGTGCGCAATAGTAATGTTAAAGGCGTTTGTCCTTCGCCAATCTTAATGAGTCACACTGGCTTTGCTTTTCCATTATGAAATTTGCCTCTGTAGCATCTATGGTTTATTATGTATTTGGACACATGCTTGTTTGGGTGCGTCTTTCCATTGTTATTGTTACCACAAGAAACACAAAAGCAGAGCTGCTTACGTCTTAGTGATCATTTAGAAGCACAGATCAATGAGGCAAAGAAAAGCAGAGAGAAAAGTGACAGCGTGACCAAAAGAGAAGAACAAGAGGAGTGGGAAAAAGCATCCTCAACAATATGATGACTACTACTCGCTACTCCTTCAACTTTAGATCAGTGAATGTTACCTTGATACACGATTGATTGTCTAAAAGCTAAGATCTTATTTTTCACTCTCCTTTGTCACCGACAGCCCTTTTATCCGTCTCTCCCGGGATGACATGTTTCCAAAGCTTGGATTCACGAGTAGGAAAAAAGGATTTGTTGAATTTTTCTTTGAGGTGTAAATTTACTCCAGGAATAGATGTTTTAATCTTAGATTAGGTTATCTGACAGGTTGTTTGTGTGAGATGGAAAGTTTTACAAAAAGCCCAGGCAGATACATCTCTATCAGTGTGTCTGAACAATGAAAAAGCCCAACGATAACCATAGAAACAGTTATAAATTGATAAATGATAAATGATCAAAGTGTATAATATTCAGCAATTCAGTCAATGTCTGTTTTACAGTTTTTCTATACTTTTCTCACCTAACCAAGCTATTATCAGAAGTGGCTTGAATGTAATGCTCGTTCAAAGCAGGTCTGGTATCTCTGCCTGAGAAGAGAAACATTCAGGAAACTAATTCTGTTAAACCTCTTCTCCACTATACAATCTTTAGAATTGGTTCCTTTAGACAGAGTAACATTTCTTTAAACACTTATCACAAGTTGTCGTCAAATTGTAACCACTTCAACCAAAGAGCAATTTGTTTTCCTTGTTTCATTTAAATACATTTCAGCCTCAAGAGGTACAATTATTCAGTAATTCAGTAGAGAACTAGACTAAGATTGAGACTGCCACCATGCTAACAGGCTATCAATGACAATGCTAAAGTGATTAATTGTGGATGAAGTCTAAGTTTGGAGGGAACGCATGCTAATATTTGGTGATGTCCACTACAGGAAACTACAGAGGATGTGGATATCACTAGTTCTGATGATGCAAGAAGAAAAGTCATTAGGATTGCCATATTAAAAAAAACAGGATAGATCATTTTTTGGGCCGCTTGGGTAAACACTTAGTACATAAGGTGAGAGACCTGTGGGGCCATCAACATAAATATATTTTACAAAATGATATTTTAATTAAGTAGATGTTGATATAGTGCAGTCAGATTAATCTTGTGCTGCTTAGTGCTCAGTAGCCTACCTGTTTTGTACATTTAGACACTCACAATTTTCATCACTTCAGTTCTCATGCAAAATAAGAATATTATGTTTCGTGGCACCCAACTCATCTAATCACCAGTATTGAATTAATCCTCACATTTTAATAACAATAAATGAATTTATTCTATTCTGCCACTTGAGAGGCAAAAAGAGATCCTGATGACCCAGATTCAAACTAAGGCAGCATTACGTAAATATCGCGCACACCATGACAGTTTGTTAATCACAAGTCAAGCTGTACGCACTGCAGGCACCTGGCTCTTTTACAAATTACCCTTTGGCTGCGTTTGACTGCGTGTGCATGACAAGGCTGTCCCTATTTATGGGTGTGTTGGCGTGCTGCCGTTAATATATTACAACGGCTGAGTTATTGTCTGAAAGCTGCCTGTTGGCCTCACACCCAGGAACATGAGAAAAGGTCACATGGGTGATGGGAAAATACGTGTTATATATTGACTGGCATTTCTGAAAGATCAGTTCAGAAGGCTCAGATTAAAAAAGGGGACGGCGGCAGTTTTATAAACGCTGCGGGTTACATATCCTCTCGTAATGCCTTCACAGGGCTTAGGACATGCAGGCCTCCTGTGTGTTTGGGTTTGTCATCAACACTGTTTTCCAGGTGGTTCTGAACCATCATCTCCAGAACGCTCTGTGCCTTTCTGTTTTGCCGCCCCAGGCTGTGCCGCAGATTATATTTACCCACATTTTTCTTCCTCTCAGTTACAAAACAACAGAATCTAACTATCTTTCTGAAATGTAGTGAGGCAAACTGTAAATATGCACAAGAAATAATGAGAAAAGGAATGGTTTGAAGTACAAAGCTTTATTTGAACACATTATGACTGAAATGCGAAGGAACCCTGCCCTGTTTTTCTTTGTGATGGTAAAATAATGACCGTGTACACAATTATGGGGTATCATGCAAATAGAGATATTAAAAGTGGCGATTACAGTGACATAAAAGCTTGAGTAGGTTAGTGTGTATATGTGTATTGATGTACTGTATCTTCCTCCTATTAGTAGGTAGTTTATAAATATTTAATTCTGTGGTGCAACCTCTGCATGCATTTGGCTACCGTGCTTCTATTTATCACATTTTGTGCAACACAGGAAACTTGTGATCCTCCCATTTGTCAGGAGGGTGTCTCACATGTGTCAAATAAACAGCAACATTAACTTCCAAAACACAATGTACAAAATAACAAAATAAATACGCTTCTTGTTGAAATCTTTTCTGATTCTGGTTTTTGCCATAGAAAAGGCTCAAAAAGCTCTTTTTGAACATCAACCTTGGCACTTTTCATTAAATCATTGAGTCTTTGTTGTTTCATGAAGATCAGCAGTGTTAAAACATAATTCATGCAGCAAGTGTGAGAAAAAAGGTCATTATACGACGAGTTTGGTATTTGCATCAGACAGGCGAGGATGCTCTCAAAGAGCCCCTGTCACCGGTAACACACTGCAACCGACCATATTTATTCCAGTTGTGGGGAAGAAGAGATGTAGGTGCAGAGAGAGTCGTGCTGGAGCCCTTATCCAGCTATTCTCCTCTCCTGCAGTCACTAATGATGCTCCACTTCATTTCGCTGCTCATTTCAAAGGACATTGTTGCAGTGGGTCATCTGACGCTGGTGGAGGGGTCCCGGGAATGAAATTAAGAGAACCTCAAACTGACCTGTGCACACAGAGAAGGAGAAATATGGAAAACATATACAGTAAGTGTCAGAAATGTGTCTCTATTTTAAGGTATTTTAAAAACTAATTACAGCAGGATATGTGGCCCGGGCATTTAAAACATAGCTCAAAGGATTTAGATATATGCAACATGGATTTTAAGTGTTCTTGCAGGAGAAGGGAATGAAAACTTTGCAAATGATGACACCACGGCTGTTGTGTTCATCTCTAAAAATGAAGTCAAAGGGCTTTAATGAAAGCTTTAAAGTGTGCAGCTTCACCCTTCTTCTTTCATGTCTTTGATCAGAGCTGCTGACTGGAAGGTTTGGCATATTGAACAGCACGTACAACGCCTCACACTCTGACATCACAGGGCTGCTAGATTCAATCAGACTTGGGGTAATGCAAGCGAGCCTCAGGATCATCGATGGTTGTGTATGAATCCTTCTGTGTCTATATGTAATCGAGATTCTTTTGCACTTATTTTTTTCACATACAGTAATAAAATACAGAAGCAGTGTGACCCTGAGGGTTGAGATGATAACTGGGAGCTGAGCGTGTTTCACACTGTAAATCTCTGGTGAGATCTCTAACTCATTCTGTCTCTCTCTCATTCAGCAATAAGGTCGGACGGGTGTTTCATTAATGCTGCCCTCTGACAGGAGCAAAACAAAGGATGCAGCAAGAGGAAACTGATGAGGAATATAAAACCGTGTGATACTAAATGATACTGATACAAGTAGAAGATTAATATATCATCTTCAATTTGTCGAGAAAGAGCTGCAAAAGAAATGTCTGGAATGAAAACGAGAGTCTGAGAGGTTCAAGGATGTAGTTTAAATCCTTGATGTCTTGGATTTAGGCTGTAACTAACCATGAATTGCATTGCTGATTATTCAATGGGTCTGTATGTTTGTAAACTGTTAAAAATGATTAATGTCCAAGATGATGTCTTAAGATATCTAATTTTTTCCTTTCAAAAATCCCAGAAAACGAGATTAATATGATAAAAACAAATCTCTATATTTGACAAAGAGCATTTTCTGCCACTTTCTCATAAAAAATGTACCTAAATGATGAAGCAACCATCAACATTGTTTGCAATTACTATCTTGTTGATGAGTAACTGCTGCAGCTCTACCTTTGAGGTTCCTTTTTAAAGTCTTCCATGGTTGGTTTCCTCTCATAATGTAAATATGCTGTTTGATGTAACTGAGAATCAGGCTGTTTTTATTTGGACATCTCTGAACCTAAACTCACAAAGTATAAACAACCAAGCAGTCAACAAGCTGTTAGCTAACAGATGTTTTACAGATGTTTCTTGGTCCAGTAAACTGTGAGATAACATTGTGTTCTGTATGTTACGAGTCATTAAAACACCGGAGCAGTGTCCACACACTCTCAATCCATGATGTATTTCTTTGAGTGCTTGTTTGGCAAAGTGCCAGTGTAGGAGATGTGATATGAAAACAGTTTACCTTTGATGCTTCTTGGCTAACGCTGGGTCCCTCAGTCTGTCGTTCTGCGTGTTAGTCCCATCGGGGTGGATTGAGTCTCAGCTGAGTCACAGTCAGGGTTTTCCTTCTAATCCACTCGAGTCAGACGGGGTCCGAAACACAGAGCGTTGGCCTTCACTGCTGCAGCTCTTCATGAAGACAAACAGCCAATCAGAGGGCTCCTCCGTCCGGCTGGTTCTTGACATGTTGCAGACTCCGTAATAGCGTGCATACCTTTGTCAAAGCGCTTTAAAACTGATATTTAAAGTGCATTAAAAATAATAATACTGTCATAGTTCTTCAGGATGTCTACGACCCCTTGGTGAAATAATCACTACTTAATATTTCTTAAGTTACCAAAAGGTTTAATACGATTACTTCCTTGTTCTTTCTTAAAAAGCGTATTGTATATATCATATGGACCAATTTGTTTATGTACATTTATGTTTAATGGCCACATGAGTAGAACAATTACAAAGAGGCTTCACCATTTATAACCATGATGGATTGTGAGCCTCGGCTGCAACTGTAAATTACAGTTATACTTATTTTTATTTGCAAATATTCGAAAAAGAAACAAGGTTACCTGCATATGAGGTCAGGTCATTAACAACAAATTGTTCATAGTGGCAAAAAATGAATTTAACCACCGACAATTGACTGTTATAATGAATAATATTGTTGTATATTTACAATTAAATAAGTATGATTATTTCAATAACGATTCAATCACTTTGGTTAATGCTTAGTTCCAAATGATGGTTAATAGTCATATTAAATAATGATTAGTTCACCATTTCTTAATAATGGCTGGTGTAAAGTGTTATGAGTTACTGTAGATTATTTGGTGATGGTTATTGCAAGTAGTTACGTCAGTATTAAAGTGAAACAATTGCAAACCATATTCCCTTGCGCACCACATCCATCTCCCTCAATATTTAGAACGTGTGAATGTCATGTTTTAAAGATGCATAGGCCATCTGTGCACTTGTCAGTGCAAACAAACTTTGGCTAGCTGCCCTCCAGTTTGAAACGAGCCAAATATGGCCACCAGCAGAAGTCTTCACATGTATTTATGTTCCCATGGGGCTCCTTGTGGAGTCTGTGTGCGTCTTTGTGCTTTGTGGATCAGATTACTAACTGCCAAAGTCTACATGGGCAGTATTGAGGCGAGGTAGATTGCACTTTTTTCTTATGCTCAGTCCTTCAATGTCATTCTTCATTATTACTTGTTATGCATTGGGACATTTGGGAATTAGCAGGAGCTCCAACAAGCCGTTTAGGACAGAGAGTGAATACACATACTATACAGAGATGCTGTGAGAAACCAATGTGAGTTTGGAAAATTGCACAATATAAATCTATTTTAGTAGACCTCAACAATGGAATTATGATCAGTAGAAATGGCCATGACATGGGACCTTTGAGGTTGGCAAGCAGCTCAAAAAGAATAAACGTCTCTTTTTGGACAAAAGAAAATCCAAATTAAAGAATTTAGTTATGACTCGCATTGCGTTAGTCCTCTACAATAATGAGTCATATGACAGGCACTTCAGCACCAGGTAAGAGCTCAGCAGTCTGCCCACCACAGGGGGAGCTGCTCTCTACACAGAGCTCTCGTCCGGCCTGGGCATCAGCTGAGTGTGTTTCCTCTTCTCTAACATCTTGTTGAGCTCCTCGGCAAAGGAGTAGCCGTGCGGGGAAGTGTTTTCAGACTCGCTCTGCCTCAGCAGCACGTAGCTGTTTCCATTCATCCTCCTCAGGACGCTGGGCAGCGTGGCCGACAGCCCGTTGGGGAACATACACTGTGGAGAGGGATGTTGTGGGGTGGGTGGGAGAGGCGGGGCCGGGGGAGGAGGCTCCTTATTGGGTGTTAAATGGGCCTCACCGGGGACGATCTGCAGGAAGCCACCGTCCTGGATGTCACCTTTGTGCTGCTTTGAACCGCCATTACAAATGCCGTTGCCGTTACAGTGGCTCGAGATGGTCTTCAGCTCCATGTGGGCAGAGTTTCTGTGCTGTTTCCTGTTCCTGTGTTGCCTCTTATTGTTGGGGTAGGCAGAAGCTGCGGCTCGTAGAGAGTACTTCCCTTGGTTGCCCACACGCAGGCAGAAGCCAACGTAGACGAGGACCACGGTGAGGACCACACACAGGCCTCCGAGGATGGTGATGAGGGATAGATACATGGCCTCCATATTGCGGGGGGAGAGCAGATCTGAGTGGGGGAGGAGAGGGGCCGGGTTGGGTGGGAGGGGTCTCTCAGTGAAGGGATGCTCAGTGGGTTCGGGCAGAGTGGCGAAGAAACTGTAAGTGTCTTGTGTTGGTGCAACAGGTGGAGGAGGGGGAAGATCCAGGCGGATGGTGACATTGTAGGCAACCAGAGCGACCTTGATTCTGTTCTCGACGGCGTAGCAGGTGTACAAGCCGCTCTGGTGCTGCCGGGCCTCGATGATCAGCAGGCCGTCGGTGCCGGTTCTGAATCCAGAATGGAGGCCGTAGCCCTGCAGCTCACTGCCGTCCAGAGTCCAGAGCGGTGTCGCCAGGTTGGAGCTGAGCTCACACTGCAGCAGCACGTCATCGCCCACACGCACAGAGCGGCCACGCACCACAATGTCTGCAACACACATGCTCAAGAGTGAGTCTACTTTTGCATAAAGTTTACCGGAAATAATTGTAATTCACATCATATCGACATAATCATCAACATATGCTTAAAGCTATTATTGTGGCGCTAAATAACCTGGAGTCCTTTTATCTTATATTCTCTAAAAGAAACTGTGAAATCATTTCAAATTATTCACACATTGTGGAAGAGGGTTCTTTCGAAAGTGATAATTCCTGTATTTTTTTCAATCAGGCTTTATTTATCGCTTTTCTCCAGTGATAGCGATGAAGACACTTTTTAAAGACACTTACAGAATATTCATAATTATCCCGCTTAATAGTAATTAACCATCATCAATTTATAGAGTGTTCCTTTTAGCCTTTTTATCATCTGATTCCTATATGTCGATTACTAAACACCTACTATGCTGTCTGAAGTTATTGAGGCATAAACTTCAATTCCATATCTTTCATTTCTCATTTATGCCACTGTGTAACTTTGTACAGAGAGCGAACAATGATAAAGCAGAGAAAGCTACATTTTTATCGGATTGCAATTGTAAAGCGAGAGAAGGCATTTTCCTGACTTGAATATCAAACAGAATTCTCTCCAGAGATGGCATAAATGTGATTAGAAAAGGGAAAGGAGGATTTTGCCAACGAAGTGTGCATAATCAACTTTCAAAGCCTTCGTGCCATCTGATGACAGCCAAACGTCTTTTGAGTCCCTCCTAACATTCTCTATTTTTAAATCTCCTTTTCATCATTCACTGCGTTAAAAGCACATTTTATTTTCAAAGCTGCAGATGCGATTTCTACATACCGTCTTGTGTGTTTTCACAACCTCTGCTGCCCTGCTGGATATCCTGGATTAAAGTGGATCTGTGAGGGGGAGAAAACATAATAGAAGTGTATAGTGCAAAGGATAAACACATAATAAACATTGTTGTTACATATACTGGGATCTCTTTTTCCTCCTACTTCTACTTTGTGTTATATCTGTCTCGTATAACGTATTGCCTCAATAACAGTGTTTTACTGAGTAATCAAATCTGTCCTGGTTGTATCAGTACCCTTTAAGTACACATGCTCTGTTGACTATCACAGCAAACATCAAGTATCCAGCATTGTGATTATGCAACAGATCCAGAGCTGACACTGTGACAGGGCGCTGTAATACTTGGCGTTTGTCAAATCAAAACACACTAAAGGGTCAAACTTCTGTCACCTGATCTCACACACACACACAAATACCCGCCAGCACCCACCTGTTTGTTTGTGCCATTACGTCCACACACTGGGCTCCGCTCCAGGCACAGTGAGGGTCCCTGGCAAACACGCAGTCGTAGCAGGAGGTGTATCTTTGACAGTTAGAGAGAGGAAGCTGCACCACGCCGGATGGAGAGCCCACGTAAACACTCATCTGTGGGAGGAGAGAGGATTTAAAAACTGAAGGGCCAAGATCCTCCTTTGATGTGTGTGTGTGTGTGTGTGTGTGAGTGAGTGAGTGAGTGAGTGAGTGAGAGAGAGAGAGAATATGTAATGGTTAAACCCACTACCTGTTTTTCAGACAGCAGCAAGTTGTTCACAGGTTGAGGTTCTTCAAATATTTGAAGCTCCTCTATAATGTGAAGCTGACCCTCGATTTCTACAGCTTTATGTAACCAGCCTTCATCTGAGAGAAGCACACAAAAGAGGAGACACATTTAAGGACAAATATACTCAGTAGCCTGTACTACAAGCTGAATATTATAGGAATTTCTGTCAGTAAGTAAAAGACATCATAATATATTACTTCCTTTAAGGTCACAATTGATTTGTATTAATTTCAGTATGCTAAATAAATGAACATGCAAACCTTTAAAACTTGAAAGATGGGTAATTGATTATAACATTGAGTGTGATTGAAAACGCAGCCTTACAAACCGGAGTGGAATCAATTCTCTTTAAGTTTTAGATTGTTACTACTACAGATAGCACACATGAATACCCGACAATAACTCCTACACACCTGTGCCCATGTACAATACATGGTATGTGTTTTCATCTACGCCTTGGATCATGTGTACGGCCATGTGTGTGTAGTCTGTGGTCCGCCTGAACAAAAGAGGCCGTCTGTCTGAAGGCTGGACCTGCTGGGACATCAGAGGATGCCTCCTGACGAAGTTCAGCACATCATCAGGCAGGGAGGTGGAGACGTTTATGTCCCTGGCCCTCAGAGAATCAGTTATACACTGCAGGGAAAATATGTCAAATAGAGCGATGAGAGGAAGGGTGATGAACAAGTAACAACGTGGGCTGCAGGGAGAAGAGAGACATTTGATCTAATTTGTAATAAAGTTCTCTGTAAATAGAGATGGATGGTGGAAGGCAGGGAGGATGTGATGAGTCTCAGCGAGATGGTCTGCAGGGAACATTAAAGGATCAAGAGGAAAATGCGTGCCTGTTGAAAATAGTGTCTGGGGAAGACGCTGCTTTTTACATGGCCAACAATGAGACTGTAAGTCAAGCAGCTGCTTTGAGCTGACATGCGGGCGACTCAGCTCTCTCAGCACCTGACTAAGGGAACGGCTTCTCTACAGCCAGCTCCTCTAACAGGCTTTCACGCTCCCGACTTAAAGCTCTTGACCGTCTCTCCTTTTCGTTTTAATAGCAACGTTAAAATGAAGTCCTACAAAGTGTTGCAGTGACACTACAGTGGATAATGTCTGCTCCTGCTAACGATGCTGCGACCCAGACTGCCGCAATAAGCCATTGTCGCCAAAGCTACGGGCTGGAGTTAATCGCCATGGAAATGGGTTTCAGTGACATAAGCTGGTGGTGTGTCAAGCTTCATCCTCGAGGTTCCTCGCTATCATTTTCCCTCCATCTTTACTCATGCATCTTTACTTTCATCTGCTCTCTGTTACAGTTTTCTGGTGAGTATCCTCCAAGGCCACAGACTAGTGAGACAGTTCTTTGGTGCTTTATGTTACATTACATTGTATTTAGCTGACGCTTTTATCCAAAGCGACTTACAATAAGTGCATTTGACCAAGAAGATACAAACTTGAAGAAAACAGAAACATATAAGTACATCCGGTTTCACTTTATGTAGTGTTTAAGAGGCTGAGGGGGCAGCAGTGGAGCCTCTGTGTGTGTGAGTGTTTACCGATCCAGGTCGAGGGTCAGGGATCTTTCCAGTGTATTCCTTCCACTTAGAGCCAGAGTCCTGGTTCTCCATGTAAGGTCCTTGAAAGGCCTCTTGGACTTCAGTCAGAGAAAACCGACACACCGCAGATGCCTTCACGTTTTTCCTAGAGACAGCGACACACACACACAGAGTGAGAAAAAGACCAGAGCACAAGCAACGAACAATAACAGCAGTAAACCCAGTGTTGCCATAGGGACGGCAGAAGAAGTACAGTCGAGCAGTGGCTCACCTAAAAGATGGAGACAGATAAAATGGGAGGAAAGCACGGGGGAGGGGATGAGCACTGTCGAGAGATAGTACGGAGATTATTAGGAGTCATACATCTCTGTGAAGAGTAGGAGGGAAGGAGGAGGGAACTACAAAAAGGTTTCAGAGAGGTGTAGTGGAGACAAGATAATCAGTGTTTGTTCATTCTTTACAAACCACAAAACATTTTGCTTTGGAATAACATTCACTTCTAAGCAGATAGAGAAAGAAAGATAATTAGTTTCCTGAAAGGGCTGTTATAATCTACACGTTTTTATGAAATCAATCATACATGCATTTAATGTATTCAGGGGTTATCTCTCTGCATAGTAGCTACTTTTGTAGAGGCCAACTTGACCATAAAAGCCTGGCTGTTCCCTCTTCGGCTCCAGTTACACCCAACATATTCTGCTTCTATGGCTTCACATTAAAAGCATTTCATTGGGGACCATGGAAATGCTTTTACGGCCCGTCCACACAGCGGCGTGCGTTGAAGCTTCCAACGCTTCTGCCCATTCACTTTGAATGGGGTGACGTCACTTTTAGCCGAAATGCATTTTGGGAAGCGACGTGGAGCGTTGCTGGCGTAGCTGGCGTCAAAAGTTGAGCAATGTTCAACTTTTGACGCCTCGATGGAGGCGTCAGCCAATGAAATCCCGTTTATTCAAATCTGCCAGTACAATCGCATAGCCAATCAAACCGCGTGTATGCTGGGAGAGACTACGCAGGTCATTTCCTCATATTCAAAAAAATTGAGGGGAAATTCATTGTAGCGGTAGTGAATCACCCGGTGCTGTATGATCAGTCTCTGTTCATCTACCGGGATACAAACCGGAGGAGCGAGGCATGGAGGGAGGAGGCAGAGACAGTGGGTGAAACTGGTAGGTTTTCGCCTGTTTGGGGATTTTATATTCAGTTTACTTCGTTTTAACATTGCTATTGCTTTGTATGTCGGGGGCGGGAGATTCATGTGATTGGTTGTTGGTCGTGTTGCTCGCAAAAAATCCCCAAGCTTCAGATACGCCCACCTCCAAGCGTCAACGCACGCTGCTGTGTGGACGCTCCGTTATTGGGAAGAAGCCACCGGAAATAACTTTGTCACTGGCATTAGCTAACCAAGGTTGTTTACATAAAAAGGTACAACTTTCTATTTTGGTATTTTCTTATCAGCTTCAGAGAGGAGTAAACCAGTTTGATTCTATGTAACTGTCTTTCATTTCTTTAAACCTGCATTTCTAAGGAATATTCTCTCCTCAAATTGCTGTAAAACTCCTCCATCCATCTTCTTTTTCTCATATTGTTGGGTTGAAAAGGTTCACTTAGTCTTGCCTCTCTCTTTTATCTCGTTCCTCCCCGTCTCCTTCGACTTTCTCGATGTATTGATTAGTGCCTCTCGTCTTTTTATCTCACTCTTTTACATTTGCATTCCCAGCCGGAGATTGAGAAATCACTCACCACTCCAGGCCAAAAATGCCGTAGAAAAGCGTGTCCTGCGGCGTGCGGCCAGGCATGACAAACACGCTGCGCAGCATGTTGAAGTGGAAGTCGTACTCGGGCAGGGAACAAGTCAGCCTGGCTTTGAGGAAGGACGTCCACCGTTTCTGGAGAGTTAAACGGCCTCCCCGGTCCCCCTGAGGAAAGAAGAGTGGGAAGAAAGTAGGAGGAGGAGGAGGGAGAGGAGAAGAGAGGGTTATATGAGGTAAGGCCTGGGTAAATGAAGACAAACTGAACACTCGGCTCAAGGTGGCAGACAAGGGGAAGTAAACCTCCTAAAGAGTGCAACAGACGGCATGGGAAAGCAATACCGATACTTCAAATAGGATTATGGCTCCCCATAGTTTAGACTCCCCGCTGTGATCTACAGGTTTGTTGATGTGTGTGTTTTATTCCTCGATTGACACCTGAAGGTTGAACACTTCTTGATAGGTTGACTCAAAGCCATAATTATTTTTGGAAATCCTGCAACTCACATCATCTTGCCCTTTGATTTGAACTTCTAATTGTATTCAGCCTGTGGCAAATTGCAAATGCTGCACATGTCGACCCAAGGCATTTCTATAAAGAGGACAAAAGCAAATATGCTTCCAAGCTTTCGCAGAGAGCTTACTTCATTGAAAGCTTACTTCCTTTTAACGCGAGAGAAAAACAAGGTCATTACACTGTACAGCTAGTCATTACAATACTTAAGTCCTTCCTGAGCAACAGGCCATTCACATCGTTCACGTTTTAGGCAGTAGAGGATGCTAAACAGTCTCTCCCCCTGCAGTCATCCATCCCTCTCACTCTGAGCCACACTGACTCAGCAACACACTCTGCCTGTTTCAAATGCATTCCCCATTCAGCTCCTCATCTATTATAGCAGCCGCTCCTGTCATCAACCGAGAATTCACTCAAGCTATTCTGATGCAAGGCTCCATGCTGTAAATCATATCCTGCATCTTTTTAAATCACCACTCACCTTACAAACGCGAGCCACTCGGGCCACCCTGCTGTGGCTGTAGGTCGTCGTCTGCTCCTGGCTCTTCTCCGTGAAGAAGTAGTAGATCTTATCATCATCGCCCGTGCTGCTGCTCAAACTCTCCCTCACCAGCGCCGAGCCCACAAAGTCGGCCTCTGTATGGGAGGAAAACATATATTTATTTCCTATTGACAAATGCATTAACAAAGCAGCTGACATACTGCTTGTATGACCTGAGAGTGGGTATTGGAGTTGCCCTGAACAAACTATTTATGTTTTATACTACCTGAGTTGTTTCACCAAAACAGTCAAATGTGAGAAAAATGTCGATAAGGATCTTAAACTAATCTGTCGGCTACTTCTAAGATGGGGGAGATGCATTTAAATCCCAGTACTAAGACATTTTGAATTCATTGAACAGATGGTAGAGCGATAAAAGGAGATGATGCTACTGTAGATGCTTCAGTTATCTGCAAAACATCACATTTGTTTGACCATTTCATCCCTAAACTGTGTATGGTGCAACAGGTGTATGGAGGGATATTTTATCAAAAATAAGTGGCTGCAGTCAGCTAGGGCTTTGTGAGGCTGTACTTATCACCACAGATGTAAGTGCAGCCTTGACATGTTCATAATTTAACTGTAATGTGTATTTTCTAAGTGTAATAATAATTATTGTTGTAATGTTTCATGCGTGCAATATTTCGTCTTTTATTTTGAAGTCCAAGCTCACGTCTCATTATGCTGTTCTCGCGTGAGTTAGAGAGCGAGAACATGAGAAGCACCCTCAGAGTAAGATGCACGGATACTTAAAGCTCCGTTAGTTTTGTATTCTTATACATATAAGTTGTGAAGAGAACTGAAGAATACTTCCCTCTGTTTACAGAGCATGCAGCCCAACGAGGTATGTTGTTGTGTTTGTATTACTTTTATGTTTATTATCTCACATGCTGTGCATGTTATTGTGTGTCTAACACAAAACTATGTTTGTCATTTATACTGTTTGTTTGTGTAGTTTTCAAGGTGGATTCGGAGGAATAAACCCGTTATGAGAAAGCCACTTGTGTCTGCCTGTGCTTCGAGGGAATTACAACAGATGTTTAACTGGTGGTATTAGAGGATCACTCAAGAGATAATATAAGTTATTAAATACAATTTGGACTTAAACAAAATTGTGAGTGTAAGTTGTAATGCTTTAAAAATGTGTGAAGCAACGGGTAAGAAGTAAGGAAATGGAAAACATGTATTTTAAATCAAGTGATGAAGAATCAGGATCTGAGTTACTGTGGTTACGTTAGCAGATCTGCCACCATAACATGCTAGTATTATCCCCTGAGGTTAACTCACCATTAAGCCAGCGTGTGGGGGCGTCCTCTGTCTTCAGTGTGGGGGATGGAGAGAAGTGCCGTATATCTGGAAAGCTCCTAAATTCGTACTGGGAAGCTGTATACATCTGCTGGTCTGAAGGAAATCAATGAATTAGCTTCTTTATTGTTTTGTAAAACTCTGGAGGTGACTCACAACTCCTGAAAGTCTTACCAATGATGAGAGCAGTGTAGCCTGTTGTCGGGCCGTATGGACATTTGTCTCTGCCTTCCTCAGGCTTAGAGGACATCACAAACCTCTTCTCGTCCTAAAAAAAACATTTGTGAAAGAGAAATATATTCAACCCCTTGAAATCAGACATGAGGAATTACAGAAAACCCCCACATAATTCCGATAAGAAATAAAATATGATATATACTCAACAACACTGGAGGTGTTGTAATGTGTTGCATTGACATACTATGTAAGCACAGAGGGGTCTGAAGGCATTCGTCCCACACATGTAGAGATGAGTGGAGTTGAACCTCTGGAGGAAGCGAATGTGATTAAAACACTCCGTCTGGAAGAGGAAGAGAAAGTCAGAAAACATATTACAGTGAGGAATATCAAGTAAAAAGACTTCAGGAGAAAGAACAACTAAATGCCTACCTTATTGTCTTTTCCCTTGAGCAGACACTGACGTTTATGTTCGGGGAAGGCTTCCCACTCAATCTAACACACATCACATAACATACAGTGAGACAGAAAGAGGCAAGTTAGATGGTTTCATATCACTGCCCTGCATACATTTGAGCAGAACACTAAGACTAATCTCTTTTCTGCTTTAATAATTCATATAATTAACAATTCTGATCTCACAACCAGCATCTGAATTTACTTTGTTGTTGGACAGCAGTATATTTGTGTACTCTTATGTAACAGAGAAAGTTGAAACGTATTTAAAGGTGGCAACGCAGAATTGTTTGTGAGGGAGTGACGCACACATCAGCAATTGTACTTTACGACATACACCAATGTTGTATTAACATAATTAGCATATCAGCTTAACGTCAGGTTGTCGTCAAGTAACAAACACAGCAGCACGACAAATGAAAGAGTATTTTTAGCTTCTACTGGTGCTTAAGGAGACGGTCAAATTTAACGACATCTTCCTGCTCTACTTTAACAACAAGATCAATGCTGCAGTCCAGGAAAGCAAATATAAGGAAATGGAAACAGGCAGTGTTGCCATTATCAAAGGACATGATTTATTATTTATAAGTCATTTAGATTTTAGTTCTAGTTGACTTGGTGACGCCAAAGCGACACATTTATTGATCCGTGGCTTTCTGCATCTACCCTGCGCAGAAATACGATACAAGATCATGATGAAAATCAATCAATCTAAAAATAGCAGCTGTTCTACTCTTCTGGTTTATGTCTGGAATGGAAGCATTGTTTTTGGAATAACTCCTGATGTCATGACATTTGAAACCAGCCTCTTGTTTGTTGGCTCTGTGGGGTGCTAAGTTAAAACTGCCAACACTGAGTTGAGGTAGTATGCTCATTACGGCATGAATTAGAAACTATTTCTGTGTCAACATGCTTCAACATTTGGATGACAACACAAAAGCTGTATCTATTTCAAGTTACAGTGAGAACATACACTAGTTTGTGTTTCTTTTCTCGTTAATATGTAGTTTATGCAGCAAGATGCTCCTGTGGGGAAACTGTGAGTAATTGTGTTTAAAGTAATCTGACTACACACACAAGGGGTGTCATGGGAATAAATAGTTTTTCCTCAAAATGAGATTTGGTTGCCTCAAAAAGTTCCTGCGCTGTGGAATGCAAATGAAGCCGTGGCGTGGCAGCTATGGCGCGGGGAGGAGCACGACATGAAGCATTACAGAAACAAAACAAAACAAACTCACAGTGAGAGCAGAGCTGGCTGAAATGTCAGAGGCATTGAGAGCGAATACAGCCCCCCGTGTCCCGACATAGAGACGCTCACCGTCAGCCTCCAGCAACATGGTGCTGTAGTTGGATGCAGACGACTGGAAACGCCTGCAGCCCTGGAGACCTGAGGAGAGGAGAGGAGAGGAGAATTGGATTGTAATGAATGTGATCTTTTGTAACGCCTTGGCTGCTTCTGCTACATCTATTTATTAAAGCAGCCTCTAATGTAATTTACAAAACACATCACAGACATCCACCACACTGGCTGAATCACCAATGAGATGCACTGAATAGGAGTGTGGGCAAAACCCAATAGAAATGTTCCAGTCTTTCTCCTTGTATTGTTCTTCCTCAGAAATCAGATGATATGGAGTATTGGATCCACTGTGTGATTTGTGGACAGTGCCATTGTTAGAAACAGCCCCTCAGTCTCATGGCTACACACACTACCACCTGGGCATTTCTCAGCACAAACACTGTCCTCTGCTGCCATTGATTATGGGTTGTCTCTTTGGGAAAAACTGTGGGTTAACAAAAACAACTTTTCAGAGAAAAAGCATCCTCTGTCCACATTGGCATCTTCTCAGACACTCAAGATGTTGACTTTTCCTTCTCTGTAGGGAGGATGGAGAGATACGGTGTCATGTGCGCTTAGCTATTAACAGAACATATTCATCGGGATTCTGATGGATCATTTTAACACAAAAAACCTAGATATTCGTACACCAACCCATCTCAGTGAATGCCTTTGGAAATCACTTAATATGCATAAAGTTATTTCCATCAGATACCTGACAGTATGAGGATAAAAGGAGCAATAGAAATCTATTCATCTTCTGTAATGGCTTTCTCGCTGTATGATTGCCAAACGTCAGAGCAAAGCGCTAAGAAGGCCCCGCTCTTTGAATTTCAGGGACAAACTTTGGAATAATTTTTTTTAAGAATGCTAGAAAAAACTATTCTATTAAACTCCATTATACTGCAGCTGCACCGAAAATTGCTTTATATGACCTCAACGCCCCCTGTGTTTATTCAGAAATAGGAAAAATACACGGTACCAAAGAAAATGGGAAATGCAAGATATATTATCAATAGCTGCTTTTTGACAGATGCAACATTTTAGGAAGACATTTCCTTTATGCCTGTTTCCTGGCGTTCCATCATCAAAACAACCAAACAAAACCATTTTATTTTGTTTTCCTGAATTTCTGTTTAAAAAAAATAAAGGTAATAACAAAAAGTATGAGTTAAGGTTAGTGTTACAGTTATTAGGTTATAAACCAAAGTATTGAAACATTTGGGTTAAATAATGGCAATTTATGAAAAATCTGAGATCACCAAATTGACAAGACTCCTCCTAAGGGGAACATGAAGGTAGCCACACACAAAGAACATGAAACATACATAACTGGACAAACAAATATTCATTCAGCATCACTGAATATAAATGTTTTCACCAGATCTCATGACAAGGCATCCAATAGTTATCACTAGTATCATTAAGGAAAATTCAATGTCAACAAAGTCAAATAGGAGGACTATTTCCATACATATTAGCCCAGCAGAGCATCAATACATCTCCTTACACATCTGATGGCTCCAGCATCACAAACCAAATGTTCTGCTTTTCTCAGTTTTATATATAGCTCTATATTGCCCTGACCAGAGTGAAATTAAAACCCAACCATGGAAGATTCAAGTTAAGGGGATTATGCTCATTCTACAGAGCTCCACTGAGGAAGAGGAAGATAATGAAAAGAGGCCCAACACAACATCAGAGGTCCACGTCGACTTAATGTGGGTTTCTGTGGTTTGAGTTTTCTTTGCTTTGAGTGCATGTCCCCCGTCAAGTTTTCCAGGCTATATTGGGATGCATCTGTTTTGACAGGACCAGATACTAATGAGGTTCACTCATACAAACACTCAGCAAAGAGATATGCTGTACAGCACACACAGTATACAAACGCGTGCAGGACATATTTATGAAGTCCCTGGCTGCGATCATGCGATGTCAGAGGGTTACGTAAGTTCTCAACATACGATCGTTCATGACTCCACTTAGCTTGTGTGCGTGCGTGCGTGCGTGCGTGCGCACGCACACACACACACACACACACACACACACACACACACACACACACACACACACACACACACACACACACACACACACACACACACACACACACACACACACCACACACACACACACACACACACACACACACACACACACACACACACACACACACACACACACACACACACACACCACACACACACACACACACACACACACACACACACACACACACACACACACACACACACACACACACACACACACTATAAAGAACCGCTAGGCATGTTAAAACCACAACATCTCCAACTGTGAAGTGACCAAACAGAGAACATTACAAAAGAAATGTAAACAAATGTCTGACGTGACTTATGCTGAACAGGCTTTATTATCAGCTGAGGAAACCTAAATGTTAAATGCAGTAGCTCCACTTGGCCAAAAAGAAAAGTATTGGCCTTCTTGATACCTCAGCCCCTCAGCATCCTCACCGAAGACTGCATGGTTATCAAGTACGCTTTCATTAAGATTCCCATCAGCCGCTGCAAAACACAATCCTCTCCTCTAACTTCAGCAGGAGTCAGATTCCATCCGAGACTCCTCCTGAGTGAACAGGTGTTTACTTTTCCTCCTTCATTCTCAGCAGGAGGAAGGAGAGTCTTAGCTTTATAGGATTTTTGGAACAATAGCTTTACCTACGTGATACGAGGTCCTCATTGTTAGTGAGGAAAATGCATTACAGCAGAGACAAAGCCTGGGTTTTTCTTCGGTGTAATCCAAGTATTAGGACACACATTGCCTGACAGCTGGAGCCATGTAACTGAAAACTACCTCACAGAAAGTGTGACGCAGCAGAGGAAGATTTATTAAATGTATTTGACAGCACGTTTTAGCCTTGGCTTATAAGACCATGCAAGAAAACACCAGTTTGATTCATTTTATGGGGAAAGAAAAAGAGGGCAGAGAGAAGCCCAGATGATATTATTTACCGAGCAAACACTTGGAGGTACCTCAGCTGATCAGCAAAGTACACAGTGTTCAGGGACACACACACGCAAGCACACACACTCGCTGAACCTCTAGGTGACGGGCTGTGACGTGACAGCCTTATATGCGAATTCACACTCGAGTGTCAGGGCTTGTTTACAGTTTGAATTTTCTGACGGGCCTACGGGTGGTTCTGAATAAGTAAGCCAAAGACTTTTAATCCCCCAAAAAATGGTCAGGTTGAAATCAGTGTGTGTATTGTGAAGGTAGATTCAACAATCTTTTCTTTTTTCACAACCTGCTAAATCTTAGTGTTTCCAGCGTTTACCCTCACTGGAATTTATCAAATCATAATACTGTGTGTGCGTGCGTGTGTGTGCGTGCGTGCGTGTGTGTGATTGATTGAACTACCCCACACAGGTTTGGAGGAGTCTTTGCTTTTTGGGTTGCTAAGAAACACAGAGATGAAATGGATTAGAGGTAAGTTTGTATACCAAAATCTTCTCATCGGGAGGGGGGAAGAAAAGGAAACAAAGACTTGAGGTAAAGGCGAGGTAATGGGATTAAAAAGAGGGCAGCGCAACCACGAAAAAGTACAAACTAATGAAGAAAAAAATGGAGAAAAAGAGACAGAGCTTAGGGGCAAAGGTAGAGAGATTGATGGTGGAGGAGGGGGAGTGGAGGAGAGTGACGGAGCTGAGTCGTGGAGGAGGACCTGTGGGAGGGAGGTGCACTAACAGATGATGTACAGAAACAGAGATAAAGGTATCAAGAGGTTTATAGAAAGAGGAGGGGGGAAAGATAGATAATGAGTGTAAGTGGGTAATTTATTGTAAGAAAGACATCTGTTTAGATAAAGAGAAGAAGAAGTAGATCTTATAAAGTGAATTGCAGCCAGCGAGTCAAAGTGGAAACGTGAGAACATCTGTGTACCAACAATAAAAGTATCAGATAACAGCACTCTTTAGAGTGTACACACACACACACACACACACACACACACACACACACACACACACACACAACACACACACACACACAACACAAACACACACACACACACACACAAACACACACACACACACCACACACACAACACACACACACACACACACACACACACACACACACACCACACACACACACACACACACACACACACCACACACACACACACACACACACACACACACACACACACACACACACACACACACACACACACACACAGTAAAAGGCCGTTTTTCGCCATACTACAATAGTTGTCATGGTAACACTGCTTATGAACTTCCTACAGTGGTGTCAGTCTCCCTGATGCTCCGCAGGGATCCAAGAGTAAGCTCATCACTCATCTGCCTCTATCTCTGTAACACCTCGGCTTACAAGCCATCACTCATGCAGGGTGAATGGAGAGTAATCACAGTTTGTTCAAAAGAAAAAAGATTTACAGAAGAGGTAGGAGTCAGAATAACCAAGCAAGTATATGCGCAAGCTGTTTCTCCATTCTTTTAGTGATGGAAAAGAAGAGGAAGAGTGGGAAAATAAAGGAAACTGAGATAAAGAGAAAGAAGGAGGCACCTACTACAGGAAGAGGCTGAGTATATAAAGAGTTTCAACACCTGGTCTGAATGTAAAACACTGCATTAATAAGTTATGAGTCATATTTAGGTATTTCACCAAAAACCAGATAGAAGTTTGAGGGTCAAATGACCAGAAAACTGAAATTTGACGCACCATAAACTGTTCATAATCATGCAGATTTGAGAAAGAAACAACTGCTTGTGTTTGTGCTTACCGCTGCGCAACACGGTGACGCGTGGAGTCACATCCAGGTCCAGAGGCGTTCTGAACGGGTACCCAGCTGCAGCACACACACAGCAGCTCAGCAGCAGGAGGCGCATCGCAGAGGATCCAGCCCCCTGCATCTCCGTCCAGCGTCTCATGGGACACACTTTCCGACCACGGTGTTCCAATTCAAAGGCTCTCACACAAACATATTCAACCTACGACTCACTCACTCCCAGACACACACACACACACACACACACACACACACTTGCTGGCACTGGCAACCTCCCTCAGTGCTGTGGACAGGACCAAATGAACCTGGAAAATAAATAAAAAACAACAGTGTTAGTAGTCGTGTCAAAAAAGGAAGAAACATGTGGGCACTATGTGGGCACTATGACTGCAAGTGTCTACTGAAAAGTAAAACAAGTCAAAAAGAAGGATAGCTGAAGTTGAGCAACACATTAAATAAGCTGATGCGGAGGATTTCGTAAGATGACGACAGAGATACGAAAGAGACACAAAGGACATTTGCTCAATAACATATTGGGGGTTTTTGCAGATCAATGGGGCTGTGTGAGACTGGGGCCGGCTCTCCGTGTTGCAAAGTATTGCAGTGTGTGAGCAGCAGCTACACAGTCTAAACTAATTATTGTAATTGTCATTAACCAAACAAGGGCTGTCAAAGAGAACAACATGCCGATATCACACAAACACTTGAGGATTAAACTGAGATGTGGAGCAATCCAGATCGATAAGGTATGAAACCAGTTCAAACTGCAGACATACCTGAGGAGCAAAATCCATGAGGATAATGACTGTGAAGTATGATGTGTCTGTGTGTGTTGCAGGGGCGGATCTACCGGGGTGGCATGGGGTGGCAACTGCCACCCTAAACAATAGCCTTGCCACCCCAGCTGCCACCCCAGTTGGCATCTTTGTTTTGAAAGAAAAGTTGTGGCTCATCGGACATTTATGAGAGAAAGTCTCTAATGTCCGAGTGCAAGTGAATGCAGCACAAGATGCACGTCATGTAACCCCTCCCCCGGTCCTGGCGCGAGAGTGGAAATATGATTGGTGGCGAATTCACTTGAACGGGGGGACGGCGCAAAACGAGAAGCCTTTCGGACCCAAGCACTGAAGGAATGAGGTAGTTGCGGTCTACAATGACAGAGAAGAGAATGTCAAGTTTGGCTGTACTCAGCATTGAATCAAAACGCACTACAGCTGTTGATCTTAATAAGTTTGTGAGGCGTTTTGCTGAACAAGATAGTAATCGCCGCATTCAGCTGTAATAGACATGCCAACTTGATGCTCTGCTCACGGATGACTCGATGAGCATAACAAACTGTTAAGATGATGACCTTGTATGCGTGTATATATTTTTTTTCTTTGAGGGGGGTCTGCCCCCAAAAAACAGTTTTAAGTCCTGAGAAAGTAAAATAAGACGGTGTGTAAAACTACACTGCCCAGCCAACAGAAAGTAACCACTTTGATTTAACTAGGCCAGTAAGTAAGGACCTTCCACTGGATAATAACTGCAGCGATGTTTTAGCTGAATACACGTTTTTTAACCCTAACTGATGCAGTTAGTCACTTCTTTAATGTTTGTTCTTTCTGATGTAAAGTCAAGGTTGTAACTGTATATCAATAATGATATAATTACTTGTTTTTCAAATTTGAAGGAGGGTGAGCAAGCATCTTGATGAACATTCATCATTAACTCCTCCAAAAAATATAGTTTATTCAATAATAAATGAATATGTGAATCATGCAGTTCTTCACTATATCTGTAAAGCGACTCTTTGAGCACCTGTAAAAGCGCTAACAAATTAAATCTATTATTATTATTATTTATTAACAGTGATTGACAGCTGATAGGAATAATATGATTGTTAATATTATCATATCCATTCAGACAAACATCCATGAGACAGTTAATTAATGTACTTATTGCAGCAGTCTGTATATATTTGGTTCCCCTGCTGGTCTAAGAGTGAGACAAACTCATTCAGTTATTGTTCAGTTAAAATTCATTAAATTACGTCTGCCACCTTATATGTAAGGCTTTACTGATGTGCCACAATAATATCACCTATGTGATTGAGTTAAAATATTAATATTGTGGCTTTCCAAGTTAACATTGATTGTAGGGGTGTAACGGTTCACAAACATTTCGGTTCGGTACGTACCTCGTTTTTAGGTCACGGTTCGGTTCGGTACGTTTTCGGTACAGCAGAAAAAAAATCACAAAACATTAAATATTTTGTTTTTATTATTATTAAACTGTGACTAATGTATTCAAATAAATACAAAATATAGTAAAATAAACATTAAGGTGCAGCATTTCGATGAACTCAAATAATCTGTATTTGAACTGTACTAGTACCTAAGCAGCCAGCTTGACATTAGGACTTGCTTTTCATTGTATTTTCATGTTGTTCTAAAGAAAGATGAACTTGTCCACATTGCTTGCTGAAATGGCAGATCTGCTGGCACTAACAATGTCTCCTGCTGTGGAGAACACCCTCTCTAGGGACAGAGGTAGCAGACACAGCCAGGTAGCGCTTTGCTAACATGGCAACATAAGGATACTTGGCGTTTGTAATAGCTTTGGCTCGGTCTGAACTTGTTCTCGAGTGGTGGAGGCTTACATGCAGTGGGAGTTGGGTTTGCACTTCAGTCTTTTTTCTTTTGGTACAGGTGATATTCACGTTCGGTGATGCCTTTTCAAATGAGTGTGATGTATTGCTAGCCGCGTAACCAATGTTAGTTGAACAATGTCGACAAACAGATTTGGTTCGGTCCACCTGTCTTTGTCCGTCATCCTTGTACGTAACTGCGAAACCAAAATGTTCCCAAATCGGAGACTTCAATGATGCTGGAGGATTTTCAGCTCAACTTTATCTGCGTTCGCCATTTCGACAGTTCCTCAAATTACTGACTACATTTGAACGCATCCCTGTGACCAGCTCTCATAGTATGCCTCTCGTCCAATGAAATGATTTGGTCGCTCTATGATATATACCTGAGATTACTTCCAGAAAGTTGTTCTCAATTTTTTACGTTTAACGCTATATTCGTTCGGTACACACGTGTACCGAACCGAAGGGCCCGTACCGGATAATTTCAGTATGGGTACGTGTACCGTTACACCCCTAATTGATTGATATGATTGCGATTTCAATCAGCATATACTTCTGTCAGGGGATGCCACCCCTCAAAATCTCCTGCCACCCTCTTGCCACCCCATGAATATTTGTCTAGATCCGCCCCTGGTGTGTTGTGATGTGAATGCCAATGGCGTAACTGCAGGACGAGAGCTTCTTTTTTTATAGAAGTGAAGGAGATGGAGTGTGTTTGTGTCACCATCACATACACCAGTACACACACCAACATTGGAAATACATGTCATACCATGGTGCATCACTGACCTTAACCACATTCATCTGGAAGAATGTTAACGTGTGTGTGTGTGTGTGTGTGTGTGTGTGTGTGTGTGTGTGTGTGTGTGTGTGTGTGTGTGTGTGTGTGTGTGTGTGTCTATATCCTCCACTGTCCAATAGGTTTTCGGACAGCAAGTCTGCATCTCATTAGGAATTTTTACATTTTCGAGACGTCTTAAAATTCTTTGAAATCTGGGATTAACGGATTTGTCAAAAATAAATGTTCCTTGCTTCATTGAATGCATCACATTTTAGGAGTGCATTTCTGTCTCATCTGTCAAACAGTAACCGTACATTTATCGCTCCCTCTCTATTTCTCTCCTTATACTCAACCTTCGTCTCTAAAACGCCTCACCAGTTTCAAATGTAAACAGTCACACTCTTTCGTGCTTTCCTCTCTGTCACACTAAAGAGCTGAACATCCAAGCAGGCTACTTCTCCTTCTATCACATGCACGTCACACACACACACACACATACACACTAAATCTATTTACACACACACACACACACATGCATGGATGCAATACAAAAATAACTGAAAAGTGAAGCCATTAGCACAAGTGACCCTGACTGCTAGCTCAGAGAAAGTCAGAGCAGTCCCTCAGGGCTGACACCATGACAACGGTCGGCTTTTCATAATGTAACGGACACACACAGCAGCATGCAGGTGTGGAGGAAAGAGATGTACTATTAACTGTTAGTTTAACAGTAGGTAGTAACCGTAGGACGGGCTGTAAGTAGGCCTACTGTAAACACTGTGATGATATTATCACCTCTTACCACTGCTCCACCCACAGGACACAAGAACTATGTAAGACTTTCATGGAGTGTTGTACTCCTGAACACTTTATATGTGAACTTTCACAAAAACAACTTCTTACTCCTACACCTGAGCTGGGCCAGCGGCCAAAAAGCCATTGTAGTCACAAGTTATATCGTCAGAAACAAGAACACAAAGGCATTACTAAAAAGATACGTCATGAGTAGTGAATTTGTTTAGTGCTGAAACATTTAACTAATTCGTTTTTTTGCATAAAAAAATGTAGTTCTTAGCAGCTGAAGGTTAAGTCTTGGATGTTGGAATATACCTGCAAGGAAGAGCTTTTAAAAATCAACCCTAATGGCAAAATATTTTTGACAGAAAGGATGTTTGAGATAAAAGTCAACAAAATGTTCAAGCATTGATGGATTTCAGGTGTCAGCAAAGGGATATATCTACTTTACTGGAGTCAACAAAACAATAGAAAAGCTAAGTATTCATTTCTCTAAGCATCAGGAAAATCTCAAAACACAGTGATAACAACACCACTTTCTCAAGTTAATGAAATGTAGCCGTTTGGGAAATAATACTTTTTCACCAGACTAAATTACTTTTTAGTGGCTCTATCTTGTTGCCAGGATGGAAATACACTTTGGGGACTCCAATTACGTCTGTCGTAGACTCTCTGTCAGGATGTGCTGCCTCTCGGAGGCGGACTGTCACACATCGTAAAGGTGTGTCACTCCCTCCCAGTCTTGTCTAAGCTTCCCTTAAAAGGTGGCAGAGAAGGGGCACTTATGGGCTCTTCAGAAGTCGTTTATCTGACTGATCGGGCTGTCAGGGTCTAAACCCTTTCAGTCAATCAGTCTGTCAGTCAACTTCAGGGGTCCTGGTGTGGTCTTATAATCCCGAGAGGAAGGAGAATCTATTGCAGCGATGCAGGAGGTAAAATGCTAGCGGAAAGTCCAGCAACGCAGAGCAAAAGAACAGTAATTGTGTCATTCCCAATTATCTTTTATCTGAAATCCATTACTCCCAGTCTTATCAGTGTACCCCAGACCCCTACATGCAGAAGCTTTCAATACTTAATTGGCCACTGAGCACACCAGTCGAAACATGTTGAAAACAAAGTTAGGGCTGACCCAGAGGAAATCACAGAGACTCTACCACTCACTACCTAACCTTTCTAAATCTGACTGCCTTCCGAACACACTGCCAGCTCACAGTCCCATTACATTTATTCACAGAGGTGGCTTTTATCAGGCAATTATGAAGTTACTATTAAACCTGCCTGAATGCAAGAGATTGGAGCACTGCGGTGACAGCACCATCAACAGACCACGATTGTCCGTAAGAACTTGAAACTCTCTGTTTTTGAGTTGGACATGTGTGTGAAAGAGACAAATAGTAGAAATGATGACAGCCAAAGCCATTGAGCTGCATGCATACTGCTTTCAAACACTCTAGTTTCACAGACAGACAACAGGAAGCCCACTGAATTGAACCTTATCTTCCCACTGTAGCTTTATACAGTCACATTGTGAGTGCAACACTAGGCTCTTTAAACAGAAACTGTAGTTATCTGACAACACCACAAACAACATTGAAACTATTGTAACTATCATTTATTTTTGCGCACAACACAACCTCACAGCTTATTTGCTCATTTGTTTGAATCTTTCCGCAGCTGGTTCTCTCTGGGTTTATGGCCGTCCAAATGTGGCAATAGTTTAGAGTCTAAAGTCTAAGATTCTTATTTTTTTAGGTCTCTAGAGAGCAGTTTAGACTCTCCAAAACCAGATTCAATCTCACTCAAAGCTTACACTCCATTCAGCCATGTCAGAGAATCCCACATTTGCCTCAAAGGGCTTCTCAGTCTGGGCAGAAAACACCACCTTTCATTTTCATTTCATTTCATTTTGATTTGTCCCGCTCATGGTACGCAAAACCAAATGTAGAATAATTGCCACAAAACATGACTACCATTGAGCGAAAAGGAGCAGGGAGAAGAATACAATCTTATGTGACCTGCCCCTTTCTAAAATAAATAAATAAATACAAATAGATGGTCTGCCCTTCATAATAATAATTATTTTTTTCTCACAGCCAAACATAACAATATCTTAGGATACTAAGAGAAACACACCAAAAAAAATACTTATTTCCCACTTGACGGTTAACGGAAAGAAACAAAACAACACCAAAACATCACATGTATAAGGAAAAGAAAAGTGCAACACCCTCATCTGAGTCCTACTGGAGAAGAATGTGGAAAGCGACGCATGATGATAATAATAACAATAACAACAATAACAATGGCAATGGGACCCGCGAATACAGAGGAGACATCACATCAAAGACATGAAGGACCAGAGTACATAGACTTATTCACATTCTGCTTCATATAGTCCCATCTTTCTTAATTTATACAACTTCTTTAACTGAAAAATACATATACAATTCTTTAGATCCTTGTGTTGAGAATTCCACAATTGTACACCAACTACCGAAATACACATTTGTTTAAGAGTAGTCCTTGCATATGGATGCTTAAAATTGAATTTCCTTCTGTGGTCTTCCTTGTCTGATCCAAAAACAAACAACTGTTGTAAATATGCTGGTAACATTCTGCTTGTTGCCCTGTGCATTACTGATAATGTCTGCAGCTCAGCTGTCTTTGAGTTTCAAGAGTCCTGACTTATAAAACAGTCTGTTGGTGTGTTCTCTTGAGTCAGCTTCATGAATTATTCTTACTGCCCTTTTCTGTAATATTGACAATGGCTTTATATTGCTCATATACGTGTTGCCCCACACTTCTATACAATAAATGAAAAATGGCAAAATGAGTGAACAGTACAACATCCTCAATGCCTTGTAATCTAGCAAATACTTTGCCTTGTTTAGAACAGAAATATTCCTAGACACTTTGGTTTTAACATGTGCTATGTGTGATTTCCATGTCAGGTTTTCATCCAGCGTCACACCTAAGAATCGAAATTCAGAAACCCTTTCAATAAAAACTCCATCAATGGACAGTGAAATGTTTTCATCTTTTTTTCTATTAGCAAAAACCATAAACTTCGTTTTATTCAAATTTAGGATTAACTTATTTTCATCAAACCATCTTTTAAGTTTGACCATTTCATGTCCAATACACTTTGCTAACATGTTTAAATCATCTCCTGAACAAAATAAATTGGTGTCGTCTGCAAACAACACAAATTGCAATAATGTTGACGTTTCACATGTCATTGATGTACAAAATAAAAAGTTTAGGCCCTAAAACCGAGCCCTGCGGGACACCACATTCTATGTTCAAACACTCCGATGTACTACCAGCAAATTCTACATATTGTTGTCTGTTATCTAAATAACTTTTTAACCAATCTAGAACTACTCCTCTCACTCCGTATCTATGTAATTTCGAAATTAATAGGTAATGGTCTATGGTGTCAAATGCCTTTTTTAAGTCAATAAATACACCTATTGTGTATTTCTTTCTTTCTATAGCTGTTGTAATTTCTTCTGTTATTTTCATTAAAGCTAAAGCTGTAAATCGATTTTTCCCAAATCCATACTGACTCTCACTCAATAACTTATTTTTTTCAATCAAATTATCAAATTTTTGGACAAACAATTTCTCAAGGACCTTTGAAAATTGTGAAAGCAAGGACACTGGTCTGTAGTTGGTAAATTGGCTTTTGTCACCTGTTTTAAAAAGTGGGATAACTTTAGCTATTTTCATGCTATCTGGGAAAATACCTGTCTGAAATGAAAGATGTAGCTTAGCGGTTTAATTATGCAGTCAATAGTCGTTTTCACTATTGTCATGTCGATCCCATCACTATCTGTCGAAGTCTTATTTTTGCATTTGTCTACAATGGATCTAATTTCAATTTCGTTAATCTCTCCCAGAAACATTGACTGCAACACTTTACTTCCCCCAATTCCGCCATCCTCTTTTTGCCCATCGTGTTGTTTTGGAATAGTCTTTGCAAGATTAAGTCCGACATTTACAAAAAAAGAGTTGAATTCATGTACCACTTCATTCATGTTTTTTACAACCTTATTTTTGTCATCAATGAAGTGACTGGGCAGGCCAGTGGATACAGATTTACTTCCAATAACATTATTTAAGATTTTCCATGTGCCCTTGATATCATTTTTCTTTTCTTTTAACATATTATTATAATATTCTCTTTTTGCTTGTCTCATTATAACTGTCAACTTACTTTGATATGCCTTGTATTGCTTTTCAATTGCCTTTGTCCTAAATGTTATGAAGTTTTTATAAAGGTTATTTTTCTTCTCGCAAGCATTTTGTAAGCCCTTGGTTATCCAAGGCTTTTGATGATAAGTACCTTAAGCACCTTCACTCCTTAGGGTCAGGATATTATCATTGTGATTGCTGTTAGGTAACGGCTTGGCAATTACATTGAAATATAGTGTAGTTATTTTGTTGAACACAAGGTTGGAGGTTTGATGCCTGGATGTTACTGTCCGCATGTCGAGGTGTCATTGATGAAGATACTGAGCCCCAAGCTGCTCGTGATGGGAAACCCTGCACCTCGCATGGCTGCCCACCCCTCCCACCATTTGTGTGTGAATGCGTTTGTGAATACGTAAATGAGAAGCAAACCTTAATTTGGTGAGGACAAAAACAACAGAGGATGAATTCCATCTCTACTAAAGAAAGGCAATAGAAAGGCCAATAGAAATGGCAATAGTTAATGTGAAGCTATCTTTGGCTCTTTTCTGCTGTAATTAATGTACATTTCCTCTCTTTGGGACGAATAAAAGTATTCTGATTCTGATTCATAGAAAATAACAGGTGTAGAGACACAGAATTACAATATTATATAAATGAGGCGCAAACATGTATTTGGTATGTGGAACTACTTTTGTGATTTTGCAGGTGAAATAGCATGTTTGCAGTGTGGATGTAGCCAGGATAATAGATTGCATTAGGATGTATTATGGTTGCTTTATTCGACTGTGCTAATCCCAATGCGTGGCTGCAGCTGAATATTAAGTTAACAACTAAAAGCATAGCTGAAGTCATTATAAAAGCATCATTATTAAAGACTAACATTTAAATATGGGCTGAACTAGTACCCTTTGAAGAATGGGGGAGAAGCATCAAGGGCACTATCTACATAACAATTATTTACTTTGTGTCAAATGGCAGCATCTTTTCATATTTTACAAGCCTTTCATCCACTTGCCATACCTCTACACCTTGTTTTCTTTAAAGACCAAGCAGGTAGATGTGTTCACTGGGTGTCCCTTTACATGGAATGATTAGATCACAGTTTTAAAGAGTATCAGCTTGGACAGGAAATGGCTGATACCCATATTCAACAGATCAATCATCTCTTCATACCTTCAACATCATCACTGTATGTTTACAGCTGATCTACTCCAACCACAGCTGTTCTTCTTGCCTCATGTTTTTTATATGAATCACAGGCTTCAGCTTTACTTTGCATATTGCTCAGTTCGCCCACACGGATTCAAAGTAAGTCCACTGAACCCTGATGAGCTGTAACGCATTAATGCAGTAAAGTGAAGCAATAATTCACATAATGTGTCACTGGGTGTTTCAAATGCAACAATAAGCTACTTTTACACACATTAATGACCAATTCCTTCCTCAGATAGGCTTACACCTGTCGGAATTGGTGCAACCATCCGGTACATTCCCTTATAACGAGACGAAAACCACCCCTTATTTTATGAGGGTAAATATCATAAGCAGTCTTAATAGGACCATTTAATAACTGTCATAAATATTAGGAGACTGCAAATAGGGTGAACCACGACGACACACGAGTATACCACACCACTATCACTGCATGGACACAGCAGAAATACTTTAAAAGGTACCACGAAGATACACTCACTACTAAGAAAATACATTTTTCTGTGGGTTTTATCTAAGAAACGGTCGTGTCAAGATAGTGTGCCTCACCTGAATCGTGTTCAAATTATTCGAAGAGAAAGACACTGAGCTCAAAATAATCCAGGTGGACTTTAGTCGCAGAAACACACTCTCAAACACACTCAGTGAACGCCTCACAGCACTGACAGCGGGACTGTGGCTCCGCTCGTCCGCCGTCACAGGTGGCGCGGCCCGCCCTCTCGTGACGCTCACTTTGTCCCTTCTTTTTTCTCAACGAATCTCTGAATTAAGTATTCCGTTCCTTTTTTGTTGTTATTTGATCATTCCTGGTTCGTTGTACCACTTCTATGCAATGTGTAACCTTTATATATACAGTCTATGTGTGTAACACGAGCTGCAGACAGCGTGATGACAGTTGTGAGGCAAAGTGTGCAACCTATCCATTCAATGCTCCAGTGTGACGTCACACTGACCCCTAGCGCGCAGAGGGAAGTGCACCCAGCCAGGTGTGCTGATTATAGAGTCATCTGTAGAGTAGGCCTGCTCTGCTGGTTACATTTAAACAGAGGTGGGAGAAATACTTGAGTAAAAGTACCAGAGTGTAGGAATACTCTGTTACAAGTAAAAGTCATGCATTCAAAAATGTTACTAAAATACAAGTACAAAAGTATTGGCATCAAAATATACAAAAGTACCAAAAGTAAAAGTACTTATGCAGATTGGTCAATTTTAGAATAATACATATTATATGTTTTGATTATAATTATTGATGCATTAAAGTGTTTATCAAAGCCGGTAAAGGTGCAGCTAGTTTTAATGACTTTGTATACTGCAGGGTAGCTAGATAGTGAATGTTACTCCACTGTTATATTTCACATCATTAATCCAAATGTTTAAAGTAACTACAAGTACAAAATAAATGTAGTCAAGTAAAAGTACATGATTTACCTCTGAATTGTAGTGGAGTAGAAGTACAAAGTAGCATAACATGGAAATACTCAAGTACATTTATCTCAGAATTGTACTTAAGTACAGTACTTGAGTAAATGTAGTTACTTCCTACCTCTGAATTTAACCAATGTGCCTTTGATACATTTGTTAAATATTCTTTATGGAAATATTCAATAACTACCAGTAAGTCATAGTTATACAGTAAAACTCAAGCAAAATAACTTCACACATTTACTGGTTATACTGCAAGATTTATTTGGAGAAATATGCTTTTAATCATTATTATGTTTTTTTCTTTTTGGAAATACCAACCACTTCGAACAGTAATTGTCCACAGCTAGTTACACACCACTAAGTTGAGAGAAATAGGCTTTTGCCATTTGTTGGTGATTTTATTCCTCTGGTACGCTGGCCATTGGGGCAGCTATCACTCTGAGTTGGTATCGAAACCAAAAGCAGAGCTGTTTTAAAAATATGTTGTATGGCGATATAAAATGATAAATGACAAAATGTTTACAGAAAACAATGGATGTTTGAACCCTGAAGTCCATGTAGCTTTAGGTTTAGTTTTTTTCTTTATTAAAACACTTTTGTGTCAGATTCACGTAACACTGTTTCCCTGCCTGACACATTTTGATTTCAGGTATAATTCTTGGTCTAGCAGCAGATCTCATATCCCAGTAAATGTGGCTGTTATGTACGCAGGGGCTCAACACTTAACGAAGTTGCCTTTGAGGAAAACCATCTCCATCCCTCTCCTCTGCTCCTATCCCCAGAGGAACACAATTCCAATGAATTATCAGGCTCATGAGGAGATACATAGTCATTATACTGCATAAAGTTACAGTCACAACCTAGATCAGATATGTATCTGTGTGCAGACCCCCTGCAGGTCTTCACAATGCTCATAAAACAAAAAAGGGCTTGTGTGCTGCAGAGATTATTAAGAGCTCTGATTATGAAGAGAGAGAAAACACCAGCTATCTGTCATCCCATATACGACTGTGTTCTCTGATTTATACAGAACTTTGAATCCATTATAAATGTAGTTATTAATTATAAATAGAGTTAGTCATATTCAGTGGGCAGAGTTGATGTTGAAGTCAGCCTTGTGTCTCCATGTCTCATTGCAATTCCGCAGGAAATACACACAGTAAAGGGCCAACACATTTAGCTACATTAACCCCATACAACTGAGACACAACAGATTAACGATAGAGCTTAATGAGGAAGGAGTGTCCCTGTTGCAGGTTACCATGGCAACAGGGGTACCTGAAGGACTGGTGGTTTGTGCATGTATGACCAAACAGTAAGTTATGGATTAGTTACATTACAAGGTGCAGAATTTATGGTTTTCTTCCTATATGTGCTTGCTAGAAATAACAATAAAAATGGATTGAAGTGTTTCCCTCTGTCTGCCTCTCTGTAACAGAGATCTAAGAGACAGCAAACACAGCGTTCAGACATAACAGATTATAATATAGTGAATGTGGAAAATGTTGTCTGTTGGTGCAGCACTTTGGTCAGGGATATATCAACAACCTGCCATGAAATTTAAACAGACCTTCATGGTCCCCAGAGGAAGAATACTGCTGATTTTGTTCAGTGCTAATTATAAAAATGTAAGCATACTAACAAGGTTTACTAGGATGCAAGGAATGGTAATCCTAGCTACTAATCATCTGCATGTTTAGGTATAAGCATATTAGCAACACTTGTGTGTCACTAGGGAAATGTTTAGCCTTTATTCAAATGTTTTTTTTTAAAATAATTTACGCTGTGGCAAAAATGCCAACATTTTGTGAGAAGTGAAAACCCCTGAGTTTTGGAAGTTTAACCTGAGCTTCTAAAATAGGTATACAATAAATGGTGCAGCTCAAATACACTGAGATCCTTAAGGACACATCTTTGTCCCAGGGCCATTACAATATAGAACCATGTATTCTAATGCATGGTGCAAATGCATGCTATTACACTTGATTCCTCTGGCATTTCTTCTGTATTATGGAGCAACGTTTGCAATGTTTGCTGCAATGCATCAAAATCAATGTTGTTGCTAATCATAGAATTATCCCAGACTGTGATAAGGATTAGTTTTTCACACAGTCCGAGTCAACTCGTATCATTTACAAAACAAAATGTTTAATAATTAATAGTTACATTAGACACGGTTTCAGCTTTTTACCAATACTACTACTTAACATATATATTTATTTTTAATATTTGAGCATATTCATCCAAGCGATTTAGCCCCCGATCACTTATTTGTTTTCTAACATAATTATGTATTAGAACCTTATAGCAGATGACGTTTTAAGTTTGTATTTGTCTTTGAGACCAAAAGTATCCATGTGATTGGAAAATATTTCTAATCGCATATTTTTGAATCTGCTACGGCACCTCTGACTATTTTCTATATTTGGATCTGATTTGGATTCATACTCTGGAAAGTTAAAGTGTCACTTTCTGTCCAGCAGAGGGCAGCAAAGATTGTGTATTAAAAAAAATGACACATGGAGACCAATACATTTCTATTCAATTGTATTAACAATGATGAGAAAAGTGGATAAAGTGTGCATGTAATCCGTGTATCTACCGTCCAATTGTTTTTCTTTATTAAACACGTAAACGGAAGAGCGTCTGAGAGGCCTTTTTGCTTTTTGCTTTTCACCTTACAAAATGGTCAAAGGTCCTTGGAGCGAGGGGCGGGGCGAAACTCACGGAAGTGATTTCAAAACAAAAAAAACTCGTTTGCTAAAATCACACTTTGAATCACTTCAGTATCCTGCTGAAGGACAGGTGATTATTATAAACAAGGGGAATTTAGCGATCACAACGAAAACGGCCAAGACACATATTGAGCCCAGAAAATGGATGTTATTAAGGGCTGTAAATATAATAAGCCCATGTCTAAAATGGACAACATTGTTAGGAGATTTAAACTATACGGCGGTTCTGCACTGCGGTCACTCTGCCGCCTCTCGAGTTTGTTTTTTCAAATCAGCTGCTCTTCATTCCTGCTATATTCAATGAGTGATACAAATATTTGTTACCACAAGTTCTTAAGGAAACTGACACTGTTGGACTCGGTTCTAGTTTGACTTCTACCGGAAATAAAATGAAGTACTTTTACTGTGTAGGCCTACTTTGTGAGTCAATGTTCCCTCCTGAGAACCAGAATGCATGTTTCTCTGCTATTTTTAATAAGCGTTAAAAAAACTTTCTTCATGAGACTGATATTGTTGGACTGAGTATTTTTAAGAGGATGGTAGACTTGATATCAGAAATATTTCCAGTCAGTACTCCGGCAGCAGCATTTTTACCCCTTGGAAAGTCTTTAGAGTCTAGCCTGGATATCTATAGGTTACTTACGTAACCCCAGTTCTCAGAGTAACATGAAGTGAGATGTCTCACTATGGGATGCGCCTCATCGCGGAGCAAACAGAAGCATCAATCTCGTTACAATAATCCTGATTGGCTGGTGATCTTGACGTCAGCGTCAGGGAATTCACCCCCTATAAGTAGCTTGCGCCACGACGCATGCGTCATTCAAAATAAGCACCTCTTCTCGCTTCACCATAGCAAGGAGGGCCGTCTGGTGAGACATCTCACTTCATGTTACTCTGAGAACTGGGGTTACGTAAGTAACCTATAGTTCTCATTCATAACACTCCGTTCAATGTCTCACTATGGGAAATTGTAGCTCCCGTATTGTCAGACGAGCTTATCTCGAAAATCACCAAACCAACCAGAACTTAACAGGTAGAGCTCTGACTCAACCAGGTGCCCAGCACTGCTTGAGTCACACTGGGAACAGAACGTCCAGCCTGTTAAGAGGCGGACAAAAGTGAGCGGCGAGGATCAGCTCGCCGCTGCACCAATGTCTTGGATGGGAGACATCCTGGACAGAGTCCAGGATGCAGCCAGACCCTGAGTCGAAAGAGCTCGCGGACCCGAGGGTGCCTGCGAACTCTGACTCGTATGAGCCCCAAAGCAATTGCTTCCACAAACCAGTGGGAGAGCCGTTGCTTAGTAACAGGCTTGCCCTTATAAGGGTTAGCCCAGGACACAAGGGGTTGGTCATTATGACAAAGCACCCTTGATCTGTCCCTGTACGTGCGTAAAGCACGGGCTGGACACGGCAAATCCGGCCGCTGTTCCCCGGAGGAATACAGTGGCGGGGAGGATGCCTCAATGTCAAATGTGGTACCTGAACCAACCGCCTTAAGATAAAGGTAGGTTTGGGCTTCAACCACACTCTGTTTGCCCTGGGGCGAACTGAGTGCATGAAGACTGTACAGATAGTGCATGAGTGCCACTGGCTCGCTTGGCAGCTGCCAGGGTCAGCTTCATGTCACACTGTATTCAGATTGTACCACTCACGGGCCAGGCCCATAGAGCCAAG